AAGTTTGGTGTGCCAATGGTTTGGAGAGAACCTACAAACCATTTGGATAACTGCTACTTCTGCCTTGTGAATGTAAAAGGTTTCAATAAGAAAAACAAACAACACTTACAATACCCAGATATCCCATCTGCCAGACGACCAGTTGAGCACTGTGAGGAAATACCTGTGCCTGTATTTACTGAGCTACCAGAGATTGATTTTGAATCCCTCAGTTTACCTGCTTCTACAGATGATGATGATGCTCAGATCGAATTTACGCCATCTGATGCAGATTGTGATAACATTTATCTGTTTAGTCAGCCTGAATTGAATGATCTTGTAAGATATTTGGATTTGCCAAAGCAGTCTGCTGAATTGTTGGCTTCCAGGCTGCAAGAGAAAGGACTACTCAGACCTGTCACTACTGTCCCCTTTTATCGTAACAGAGAAGCAGTACTTCCATTCAGATGGTCAACTTGTTTATTGTAATGATGTTGAAGAGCTTCTTCTCAATATGGGACTGCCCGCATATGATTCAAGTGAATTGAGACTTTTTATTGACAGTAGTAAAAGGAGTTTGAAATGTGTGTTACTTCACAACAGAAATATATATGGTTCAATCCCAATAGGACACTCTGTAAAAATGAATGAAGAGTATGCCAACATCAAGATTGTTCTGGATAGATTGGAATACCATGTTCATGGATGGCTAGTTTGTGTTGCTTTGAAAATGGTTAATTTTCTGCTGGGTCAGCAAGGAGGTCACACCAAATACCCTTGTTTCCTGTGCTACTGAGACAGTAGGGCTACATTAGAACACTGGGTTAAAAAGAACTGGCCACCAAGAATGAGTTTGACGCCTGGTGACAAGAACATCAAGAATGAGCCTCTGGTTGATAGGAAAAAAATTGTATTTCCCCCACTGCACATAAAACTTGGATTAATGAAGCAATTCGTCAAAGCTCTTGATCACACTGGAGACTGCTTTAGCTATATATGTTCAACCTTTTCAAGTCTCAGTGCCGAGTAGAAAAGGCAGGAATATTTGATGGCCCTCAAATAAGAACACTCATCAGGGATCCACACTTTGTTATAACAATGACTGCGGCAGAGGCTAGAGCTTGGAATGCATTATCTGATGTGGTGCGGATTTTCCTTGAGAACAGGAAAGCGGACAACTATCGCGAGATTGTGGAGGAGCTGCTCTTGAGTTTCCAAGCACTTGGATGTAGAATGAGCATCAAGATTCACTACTTACATAGTCACTTGGACCAGTTTCCAGAGAACATGGATCACGTGAGCGAAGAGCAAGGTGAATGCTTTCATCAAGACATTAAAGTTTTGGAAGAACGTTACCAAGGCCGATGGGACTCAAACATGATGGCAGATTACTGCTGGTCCTTGATGAGAGACATTCCACAAGCTGTACATCGGAGATCATCAAAGAAGAGGTTGTTTATGCAGATGTAACATCACTATTGTGAATGACCTTTTTGTACATATTTTTCTTATCTTCACAATTCAATTCTTACATGGTAATATGCATTCACCCACATTGATATGCAGTCACTCTCACAACTTTGTGCTACGGCTCATTAAATGTTTGTTTCATTATTATTGTATGTTATCTTATTCTTGTATGGATGTTTGTTTAGCTATTCGTATATGAGCATACATTTGCTGTTTTTATTGAAAATGCAATATTTGATATCTTAAAAACCTGAAAACTGATGCCAGATTTGGAATCAGCACCCCAAAATAACCTTAAAACCGTTAGAATACCTTATGCCAGAAAAAGTGTGACCGGTGTCATTTTTAACTCAATAAACAAATAAAATAAACCCAACATTTGAATAAATATCCTTGTAATTGTATTACAATAAATATAGACACGTACATTTATATTTTAAAGTGCATAAATGTACACAAATTACCAAAAAAACAATACAAAAGCTGAGTGCTTTAGTCAAAGCACTAACAGACTAGGCCCTTAATCACATTCAAACTCATTAACACAAAATAAACGTAGTTAATAAACCTTACAATTAGAATAAATAAACATTCATTTGTATTGTAATGAATACAAACACGTACATTTATATTGACACTAGCGGTGAGTACCCGGCGTTGCCCGGGCCAAAAAGGCAGACACACACACATGTAGTTACACACACAAATCGACTGACACATACACATAGAGTTACACGCACATATCGACTCACACATACATACATAGACTGAACAACAACAACCGCCATTCGCCAGTAAGTGGCGGTGACATCACCACAACGCTTGTGCCAGGCTATGTGCACCTTGAGGCCACGTAAAGTGTCGAATGCCCGCTGGCAGGAGGTCACGGGGCAGACCCAGATGGCACAGGTTGACTGACTGAGACGACTGGCTCATGCACCACCTGTGCCCCCTACTGTGGCAACTTGCTGTGCTTTAGCCACCCGGCGCTCCGCTCGTTGTTGTGAGCGTCGCTCCTCTGCCCTCCGTTGTTGTTGGAGGGCGACTGCCTCCAACTGCCCAGTAGCGTCCTTCAGGAGGCTCGTCCACAGAGGCCGATCTTGACACGGCTGGTACCAGTCATCGGCAAGTCGACTCAGCTCCACGTCCTCCTGTACCACATCACTCCATGTCTTCTCTAGCCCGTGCCGGGCAACGCAGCCTTACCTGGCGCAGGAGCTCACTGATGGGACTTTGTCCACATCTTTCAAGGATTTGTGAGCTCCTCACACAATGCAACCTGGCTAAATTCAGGATGGATCGTAGGCAGGCCATCCTAAATGTTTGCAACCGGCGAAGATGTTCCATTAGGGGGGCGCAAGCGTAGAGAAGGGAGGGAATGACCGTGGCCGAGAAGACCTGAAGCTTCGTGCGGAGTGATAGACCAGGTAGCTTCCACACAGTGTCACGCAACCAATAAAAAGATAATGTGGCTCGACTGATTCGGAGACCTCTGCTGTTAAACCAGAGCCGGTCATTAGCACACTGGAAAGGAATGGGAAACTCTCCACTGTCTCCACAACTGGCCCATCACCAATTGGAAGTTGTGGGGGTGGAGCGTCCGATGGTAGAAAATACCCAGGCAGGTGCTTAGTTTTGGTGGGGCTAATGGTAAGGCCCCACCTCTTGGTGGCAAGCTCCAGGTTTAGCAACAGCACCTTGAACTCCTCCTCCGAGTGAGCAACAATTAGCAGATCATCGGCATACATAACGTGGTTGAGCAATAGGGAGCCATCCCTTGACCGCACCCGGGCATCGATCAGCTTCCCATTGTATCTGTACCAGATGAAAATTTTAGCGGTACAGCCACTGAAGGCTTCACGATCGACGTGGTCCAAATATATGTAAATAACGTGGGAGCCAGAGGATATCCCTGTTGCACCCCAAGGTGTATAGGGAATGTCTCTGACTCACGGCCACGTAGTTTGACGCGTGGCCGCTCACCATCATGAAGGTCCTTAAGGATGGTGAGCAGTGGGTGAGGGACTCGGAAAGCACGAAGAACATCCCATAGGCCAGGCCTACTGATGGTATCATAGGCCTTGAGCAGGTCAATAAAGCACACACATGGACTAAGACGCACACATGGGCCTACAGACACGCAAAGAAATGGACTTACACTGACTAACATGGAGGCATGCATACAGCAACTAACACACACGCACATGGACTCAGACACACATATGGACTAACACACACATAGACATCCACTTGAGATATACACACATGGAGTTACACACACATATCGACGTACACACATACAGCGACTCACACACACATTGACGTAAACACACATATGTACTTACACACATATGGACTAAGATACACACACATGGACTTAGACACACATAGATAGACTGACACACACAGCCCTACACACATACACATGTGACACACAGACATCTACTTGAGATACACAGACATGGATGAACACACACATATGGACTCACACAAACGCATTGACTTACACACACACATCGAGTGACACACACATGTATAGACTTACACACATATGTGGACTAACACACACACATATGGACTGACACACACATACACATGGACGTACATGGCCACATCACAGACTGGCAGACCGTCGCAGTGTCATAAAAGCGCAGCAAAAAAAGGGAAAATGCATAATACAAATAGTATTAATTTCAACAAGCTTTGCTTTGTTAGCTGAATTTAGCTTTTATAAATATTCGTTTTCTAACCAGACAACCGAAATTGTGTCCTTGGAGTTTTGGGTTAACATTCATTTTGAAGATACTAGGGCTTCCAGGCATGTTTATGACCATTTGCCCTCTCACTGTTTGTCATAACAGCCCCTGTGATGAATTTTGGAATATTTTCACTATATCATGAACATATGAATAAGTATAGACGTGTAAGTCATGTGTAACTGTGTATATATGTATTCCTCTGTGCCTCGATACTTACGTAGATGGTGTGGATATTCTCTTTTTAAATCCTTTATATTAAGTTCGCTTGCTTGCGTGCTTGCTTGCTTGCTTATGACCGTGCAAACCTTTCGGTCGTTTTTTAACCCACTTCCCGTGATCCAATCGAGCTGACATTTTGCACACAGACTCGTTGTGCGAGACAATTAATGTTCGTGAAATTTTTTTTTTAAATCCTTTATATTAAGTTCGCTTGCTTGCGTGCTTGCTTGCTTGCTTATGACCGTGCAAACATTTCGGTCGTTTTTTAACCCACTTCCCGTGATCCAATCGAGCTGACATTTTGCACACAGACTCGTTGTGCGAGACAATTAATGTTCGTGAAAATTTTTTTCAAAAATTTTACACTGTTTAGGGAAAACTAATTAAATATTTAATTACCAATTGTTTAATACTGCAGACAATCATCTGACCCATAGGTGGCAGCCATCTCAAGCCAGATGACGAGAGGACTCTAGCCACCACGCATATAAAGGATTTAGAGTGAAAAACTTTGTTTTTACGGGTTATACTTATTTCTGTCTGCAGCTGACGCTTCCTCTGCAGAATTGTCTGATGGAGCAAAGGCACTCAGCGCAGCTCGGTACAAAAAGGCAACAACGCGACCAGCGTGCATACAGCACGGATCGTCCTGGCCATTTGACACAGTACCAGAGAACTCACACAGAAGATAAACTCTTCAGGTGCACTCTGTGTGACAAGGCATTTGCATGGTCATCAGGTCTTCAAATACATCAGAGAATACACACGGGGGAGAAACCCTTCAGGTGCACTTTGTGCGGGAAGGCGTTTGCAGGCTCATCAAATTTTAAAAGACACCAGAGGACACACAATCATCAGAAGATCCCCAAGAAATGGAGTCTGAAATCGGCTTGTGAAAGTCAAAGTGCTGCAATGAGCCCATCCCTCATGAAACCAGAAGTGAATCCCAGCTTGGACACTTTTAAAGGTATCAAGGTGAAATGTGAAAAGGCGAAGGTGAAATGTGAAGAAATGATGAAGAGCGAAGAAGTGAAGGTGAAATGTGAGAAAGTGATGGTGAAGAGCGAAAAAGTGACGGTAAACTGTGAAGATGAAGATTCAACTCCAAAATCGTACCTTCACATCGATGGAGGCAACGTGAAGCAGGAGGAGAATTCTGACTGCGAGGCAGAGCTAGGCAACTCCCAGCAGTTTGTGGAAGTGGAGGTGTGGGTGGACTTCTTAGACAATACAAAGTCAAATGGAGACCCGGTAGATGGGTTGGCTTGAGACAATGAAGCTCCAATAGATGCACCTTTGTCACAGGCCTTTAATGAAAAGAACGTGAATTTGAACACTGAATTCCTGGGTTCAACCTGCAGAGTAAGAGCGGCGAGTATTTGTTGACCTGTGGGTTGGGTAGATGAATAATCAGGAGCAAGAGCCAAGAAGCTTCCAAGTATTCCACTGTTATATTTATATTTTCATTGATATGGTGCTTGCTTAATTGCCTCAGCAACTCAGTTTCATATCTCATCACAAACACTCGAAGAGCACCTTCAAGTGGCAGCTGCCTCAGTGTCATAAGGTGACACTGCTGTCACCTGCATGTGAGCATGAGTCTGTCAGTAGGGGGTGATGATTGATGTGTAATCTTCATTATGTAATTTCTGGATCATGTTTGAAATTGCCCAAATATTGACCAAGACACCAACATGCAATGACCTATGCGTTTTGAATGACACAATCGTATGTTTTATATCCACTGTTAAGCAGACGGTGCATATTTTGTTTAATGTTACTGGAGTAGCCATCAGACGTGCCTGTCGGATTTGAATCTTGAACCTCTGCAATAAATAGAGAATGTGCGACCACTTGGATTCCCTCAATCTGATGTTCCATTTAGAGGGGTCCACGTTTCACATGCCTACAGAAGGGAGGGCAAAACTGGCCGAGAAGAACCGAAGCTTCATGCGGAGCGACAGACCAGGTAGCTTCCACACAGCATAGCGCAGCCGATGAAAAGATAATGCCGCCCGACTGATTCGGACCACCCACACACTGTACACACGCAGTGTTCCCACAAGGTCTACACACACCATATACACAGCGTACACACAGTTTACCCACACAGTATACAGTCTGTACACCCACAGTGTATACACACAGTCACAACAACCGCCTTTCGCCACTAAGTGGCGTGGACGTCACCACGGCGCTTGTGCCAGGCTATGTGCACGGGGCACATCCAGGTGTCATGGGTCGACTGATATAGATGACTGGCCAATGCACCACCTGTGCCCCCGACTGCGCCAACAAACAGTGTCCACACACAATGTTCACGTTATTGTTGAGCTCACGCACCCAATGGGTCTCTGTTCAAGAGAGGGAGCCACAGAAATGGAATCTAAATAAAATTGAACTCTAACCCTGATCTCGCTCTCTGACGTCACCCCTCATTAACTCGGCGTGATATGCGAGGGTTAGGTGTCCCCCACTAGTGACGTCATGTCACGGAGGTAATTACCCCCCCACCGGGATTTTGAGCGTGACGTCACGTCTACCGATTTCCGTTCCAGTAAAATGCTTATTTGGGACGGGGACGGCAGTCAAGCACCATCACCTGACATGGGCCCCTCTCATTAACATAATTTATTCAGTTACCCTGCTGCTCGTTGGAGGAGGGGATTGTGTGAATCCCGCAAGTGACGTCATGTCACCTCCTGCTGCCGCATGACGTCACGAGTTGCCAGGTAGCTGCTGCTCCGCGCACGCTCGCTCACTGAGATCGGAGGTGAGAAGTTTACATCGTTGTTGTTGTTGTTGTGGTGGTTGTTGTTGTTGTTGTGAACCCAGGTAGAGCCTAGCTCCTTCTCCCTCGTAGGGATATCAATTGAGTAGCAGCGAGTATGGAATCGATGTCCAGGTTGGAACATTACAACGCGGGGCCTAGCCATGCAGGGACTTGCCTCCTGCCCTCGCCTGATTGCATTTGCTTTAATTCTCTGCTTAAGTTTAATTTGTCTTCACCTGGCTCACTACTTTGAAACTTTGTTTTACTTTAAATATTTCTACGTTTTTTTTTATTTTACCAGGCATAGCCCACTTGAGCTACACCGCTCGTTTTCAGACGCGACCTGCCCACAACACAGTGGGCTTATCAACGTGTGGAAATCGTCTTGGTTCTTTCGGTAAAGTCACGTAGAAGGGAAGTAATAAAATAATAGAAATAAAACATAATAAAATAATTCTCACGACGTTTCGGCCACAACGCAAGCAGCCTTCCTCAGGTGAAAACCAGGTGTCGACAGACCTGGTTTTCATCTGAGGGACGGCTGCTTGCGTTGTGGTCGAAACGTCGTGAGAATGATTTTATTATGTTTTATTTTGATTATTTTATTACTTCCCTTCTACGTGACTTTACCGAAAGAACCAAGAAGATGAACCCCTGCAGTCACGAAAGCTTAAATCGAAATTTAACGTGTGGAAATGTTTATCGGTCAAATACTCTAAACGCGTGGTGATGTTGACTCTAAATGTGCAGGGAAAACCGCAGGATCCGGCGGAAAATCCACGCGACCACGGAGAGAGAGGGACACGCAAACGCCAAATATACAGCCATAATACAGGTTTGTTTGTGTGAGATCGTGTAAATAAATAAATGTGTCGTTCACCCCGCTACCACCCGATACATCCAATTAATAAGGGGTTTGTCACGTAAACAGAACGTGGCCAATGCGTCACTAGTACAGCACTAGTGTGTAGTGTATAATACTGTAGTGTATAGTAGTGTGTAGTGTATAGTGTAGTGTACTAGTACAGCACATCGGTGTGTTGAAGAGCCAAGCCACAACATTTACAATCTGAGTACAACGTTTTGAAACTATTTCCAACCAGCTTCATCAGACGACAGCCACATGTTGTGGCTTGGCTCTGTGGGAATAGAAATCGGCTCGTTGGGTTAATAGCGCAGCACGCTAACCGTTGCACTACCGCTCCCCACTCACGCACACACTTTATCGGAAGTATAGTATCCAGTAATAACTAAGTTTCCCGGCTTAGCTCAGGTCTCGGGAATCAAACATTAAAAGTAATGTCTTGCCATGCTGGCTTTATTAGAATAATTTAATTCTGCCAAAGAAAGCTGTAAATGTGTATATTGTCACGGTTTTGTGGTTGTGTTATACAATAGCGGGGCTTGTTTGTTTCATGAGGACAGCTTTTAAATACGTTGCCCTTGGAAAGCTTCAGGATGGACAATTCATAATCAACGTTTTTGGGTTTAGATCGCGTTTATTTATAAATGTGTCGTAACCCTCCACCACCCGACACGGCCAATCAGTAAAAAAGTGTCACGTTGACAAAGACAAATAGTTCACTGCTTTAGCCCACCGGTGTGTTGAAGCCACAACATTTACAATTTGAGTACGACGTTTCGCTGGTAATTGCAACCAGCATCATCGGGCAATTGCCCGATGATGCTGGTTGCAATTAAAGCAGTGAACTATTTGTCTTTGTCAACGTGACACTTATTTACTGATTGGCCGTGTCGGGTGGTGGAGGGTTACGACACATTTATAAATAAACGCGATCTAAACCCAAAAAGTTGATTATGAATAACATTGGTCGCGAAAGCCTACGTGTTAAACTGAGGATGGACAATGTTAGATTTTTGCCATCTGGTGGTGTTGGCACAATTTGGTTCCCAAAAAAGCGTTCATATGCACAAAGTTTGCTTTATTTATATAGATTATATATATGCTCAAAGCTCGTGTGCTGTTTCATTCAGACTGTCGCCTCGACGGACCTGGTTTTCACCTGAGGACGGCTGCTTGCGTTGTGGCCGAAACGTCGTGAGAATAATTTTATTATGTTTTATTTGTATTATTTTATTATTATTTTATCTTTAGACGTGACTTAACCGAAAGAACCAAAGAGTAATCAGGCAGTTCTACATGTGGTGGAGGAGCTCCCATGCCTGGTTAATGTGTTCACGACCAGCTCTGGTTTGGCAGCCAAAGTCTCACTTTAAATTTGTCTAGCAGCATTCTTTCATTAGACTGTGTAACACTGTGTGGAAGCTGCCTGGACTTTTGCGCTATACAAAGCTGTGAGTGTCCATCACCAAGGTCTAGTCTGTCTGAGACCATCCCTCTCCCTGCCATACTGGCAACGCACCCGCCTCTCACTCTTCGTACTGTGGATGGTGGGCGCACAGGACGGTGCCACGTAGCCATTCCAGGCTGGGTCCAAATGGGTTACGTGGGTCACCGAGCCACCAGGCCTCATTCCACGACTGATATCAATATACAATATCTGTAACGAGGCCCCCCAATAGACTGCCCCTGGAACTGTATCCGGCACGTCCCACTGAGGGAAGTCCCCGGGGCCCGGGCCAGGACATGCTGGTGGGAATGTCGCTTGGCTGGCTTGGGAACGCCTGGGAATTCCCCAGGAAGATCCAGAGGCTGTCGCAAGGGAAAGGGAGGTCTGGACTGCCCTACTGAATGTGCTGCCGCTACAACCCTCACCAAGACAAGAGGATTTCGAAATAAACGAACAAAGCTGCGAGTCTTCTTGGCCACAGATATTACTCCTTTCTCTGTAGATGCAAAATATTAACTTATTTAAAGGACCGTCTGTTCTGGCTTATAATTAAGACTGGCCAGTCTAGGATCCCCTCTATTGAACCAAACAAGATTGTATTATAACCTTACAGAGCCCTAAAATATCAGTACAGAATATAATCTGAGACTTTGGCAGGGGAGGCTGCATTGGTTGGGGCATGAATTCCGCATAAACAGACAGCATGCACAATCATCTTCTGTTAGTCCAGATGTTACGGGCTAAACGGGCATGGCATTGGCTAGAGAAGAGATTGGAGGATGTGGAGTTGATCAGACCTGCTGTCAAGATCGGCCTCTCGAAGAGGCCCGTGACATATGCTGCAGGGGAGTTGGAGGTATTTGCTCTGCAACAACAATGAGGTTGGAGTAGCAACGATCACATGAATGGGTGGAACGCTGGGTGCCTCAAATGCAGCAAGACAGCAGGAAAAACAGCTGGTGCGTCTGTTAATCATCTCAGTCAG